TCAGCTTCTCAAAACAAAGATAATCCTCATCCCTTGGGCCCCAACCTGGAAGGCGGGCTGCACCGACCGAAGCCAACACTGAAGCTAACTTCTTCATACCTCTACGCCATGTCATGGTCTGACCGCCGCGGCGCTTCTTCTAGCCTTGCCCGGCACGTGCAAAGAGAGCACGGGAAGGAAGTCAAAGTTTTATTATGAAAATGACTTACAAGCTCGTGCTTGTCTTGTCCCCATAGGATATTTATACAGATGAATCGTCACACGCCGAAAAAGAAGTCACATAGAGTTGCGGGTAGGGGATAATGGAGAATGCAGGCTACAGTGAACTTGCGTTTGCTTTTAGTGGTGTACGAATGTGAAGTGTGCCAAGGTTTCATCGAGTCTCTGCTTGAGAGATTCAATAGCTGGTGCACAAACGACATGAGAGGGAAGGGCGTTCCAAGAACTGCATACTCTGACTGCAAAAGACTATCGCCGGCATCCCAGTCGACACTTTGGAATTAGTAGCTTGAAACGGTGTTCCCTTAGGTGTACATTGTTCGATAACATGAGCAGCGATCGACACAGATGACTTGGGTTCTGCAGTATTTGATACGTCAAAATCAAGTCCCCCTCCCCCCGAGTTGGGCGGTACTGAGCAGAATATAATCCCAATGATCGTAATCTCTCCTCATGTCAAGTAATGCAATCCCTTGACCATCTTGGTGGTCATCCTTCATGGACGCTCAAGCATCTCGCGATCACGCATATATCATTATTATATTTCACACTTGTCTGAGGACAGACTGTGTGCCAAACAAATCATGGCACAATAATCTTTATGAAAGAGAAAAGGTTCCATGATTGGGTTGTGGGTTGAGTACTGCCAGGTTGCCCAGGACAAGGCAGGTGAATTTTCTAGGCGAATCCACAACCGGAGCCTTCGGCTAGCCAAATCCTGACCCGCAAGGCAGCGGGGTGGTAGGTGAAATCCGCAATCCGTTGGACCGGCCGGTGTCCAGTTCATCGGATCATACGCCCTTCGGACGGGGTCAGACGTCCAAGGTGCCCAATACACCTCAATGCCCAATCGAGCCGGTGACCACTGCCACAACCGAAAAGGTGTAGGTGTGGTTCGTACGTCTCCTCATGGTTGGTTTGGAATCAGGGTTTTTGGCCAACTCCCCTAGGTGAACTGCCAGTGGTCCACCAATCCGGCTATAGCCCCGGATATCGGCTTTTCGTCCCCTCACTTTGATGGGAAAACACCGCCGCGAGAAGGCAGTGAGTAGGGCTTCCTCAGCAGAGGCTTGCGATCAAACGTAAGAATAGTGATGATTCAAACCGGCCAAAGACTCCCCGAAGTAAGCCGGCATTCTTCACAGCAGCGGACGAAGCCTTAGCACAACTGATGGAGCAGCTTAAACCATCTTGAACAACAATACGTAAGTCCTTTTCACTAGAAGTGTGTGGTAGCTGCTGATCCCCGAGGAAATACGAGAATTTTCTCTTGTGGCGCAGGGATAGGACTTTGCATTTAGGAGCATTAAATTCAATGTCGTTCCCCTTAGACCATTGATATATATTTCATAATAAGTAGTATGTGAATGACTGGATACAATGTCCCTAGAAGCACACGACCGGTTTCGGGGATCTTGCACCTCGTCAGGCATGCGTATCCGGTAATCTTTTGTCAGTTCATTATATACATATATATCTTTGTATGTATGTACTTCACACACGTCTGGTACCAGACTATGTGCAGTTTCAAGTTTAAACTTCTTCCTCTTGGCCTTTTAGCTCCAGTATGCGGCACTGTGTTAACTTGGTGGAATAGCGTTTATACAACTTTCAAGGTGGTATAAGAGGTGGTCGCTGTCGTGATCGA